CGTTGACACCGGAACTTCCGTATGAAGTCGAGGTTGAATATAGACCCGTCTGTCACACCATCGGCAGGGCGTTGGGCTGTAGTGTCCCAAAATGTAGAAGGCTTTGGACGAGTTGAGGCCGGTTGTGTAGGAAGAGGTTGATGAGCCTGAGTTGTAGTCGCCGGACCCGCAGCAGTAGCAACATTAGTGGTGATTGACTTCCCAGCAGCGTTAGCCTTCCACGTCTTCTTGAGTGATCGGTAGAAGCCTCGAGATCTCTCACGCATCTGGACGAAGGTCTTAACGTCTTGGGCAGGGGCCCGATCTATGTCATCTTGGCCTCGCTCATCCAAACTGTTGTACCAGTGGGCGGCGGTCTCGCGGTCATCAATGGAGCCCTTCTCTCTCTGTATGGCACGGATAAGGGTAGTGAACCGACTGAGATGGCCGTCAAAGTCAGCACCGGGAGAGAGTTTAAGAAGTTGTAGTGCCTTGTAGTGGTCGAATAAGCCGGATGATTTAGCAAACTCATCCATGAGATGGTTCCACACCTTGTCGAGTAGCCTTTGGAAGTCGTTCACACTGGTACATTGAGGCGTGTCTTGCGCATCACCATATTGCAGGCCGAACACTGTGGAGTTGTGAACACTCGGAGAGAGGTTATGTAGTAGGAAGAAGTATCGGGTAACCGCATCACCGTAGAGGTACATATTATGTTGGCGAACCAGTTGAGAGAATTCAGCGAAGGATCTCGGATCATCATTACCAATGAATCGACCACCTTCAACCGTAGGAGCATTGTTGCATGCTGCACAGCACTTATCCACCTTGTTCTGGAAGCTTTGGCCACGAAAGAATAGGGCATCAATGGCTTCCTTGGGTAGCTCGAGGCGGGACTTCTCTGAAGGCGGAGGGACTACCACAGTAGAGGGGGGACACAACGTCGAGTCTGGCTTCTTGTCGAGAACGTCGTTAATCTTGTCGATCATGAGGGTGACATCCGACGAAAGGGAGTTGACCGTAGTAGTCAAAGTACCGATCTCGTGCTCGATGTAGTCGAATCTTTCGTCAACCGACGCGAATCGGTCGACAGTAGCTTGGATGTCGCCGTGGAGGGCGTCGATTTCAGCTCGAAGTTGTACATCAGTTCCCTTGGGGAGTGCAAGTTCCCTAGGGGTCGGGGGTCTTGGAATCTTCGAGCAG